AAAAAAGGTACAAAAGCTGACATTGGGACTGTACACTTTAGGTAATAATATACAAACTTTAGGTACTAATATACTAATATGTACCATTTTGGTACAAGCTCTATAAGTACTAATATGTACATTTTGGTACGAATATGTACACTTTAGGTACTAATATGTACAATTTTCGTACTATATTTACACTTTATGTAATAATAGGTACCATTTTGGTACTAATATTTACACTTTAGGTACTAATAATATGTACCATTTTTGGTACATATATACACTGTAGGTAATGTACATTTTGGTACTAATATTTACACGGCTGGTCCAGCCTCAGGTTTCTATGGCAACCGGAGCTTCTAACGGCCGCTGCAGTGACGCAATGACTTTACCAATCAACGATTGGCTCCTTTATTTAGGATTCGGGACTATCGCGCCATATTGCGCATTTCTCCCATTTATAAGTACAGGAGTGAACTGTCTTTGTATTTCTATAGTCTTTGGTAATATGTACATTTTGGTACTAATACATACACCTTAGATACTAATATGTACATTTTGGTACTAATATACTGTATACACTTTAGGTAGTAATATATATATATATATATATATATATACACACACACTCTAGATACTAATATGTACCATTTTGGTATTAATATGTACAGGTACTAATATCTACATTTAGGCACTAATATGTACACTTTAGATACTAATCTGCACATTATGTTACTAATACACTTTAGGTACTAATATGTACTTTTAAGGTACTCATATGCCGCCGTTAGGGGTAAATAAGGTATAAATGTACATTTTTGTCTGAGAGTGTACAGTAAAAGTTGAGCATTCTGGAGAGTTTTAAAGCATATTTAATATGAAAACGAGGCTGTGAGGGGTTCAGTGTGTAATATTCTGCAGTGTACCTTCATGTCAATCATTCAGCTGAAAAAGCACTGAAAATATATCTTCCCAAAAATTCCTTGAGACCAAAAGTTGAGGTGTGATGCCTGACCTTGAGACAGCACTGAACAGACTGTACATCCCTCACAGCCTTGTTTTCAGTCGTGTCCAATTATGTAAGGTGTCTACCCTGACTCATGGTCCATTACTGAAGAGCATTATTAGTGTCACATGTGGCCACGGGAAGCGTGAATTTTGCGGTTGTGATCTCAGGACGGTGTTGTTTCCTGTGCGGAACCGTTAAACGGCATTTTAGTTTGTTCTTTAGGTCGTAAAATTGTACCCACTAAAAAAAAGTGTCATAAACATTACAGGCTGTAGTTGAGAGAGAAAACCTCAGGCGGAGCTCCTGTACAAACAATGTGATGAATGGAGAAACGGTTCGTTTGTGCTGCTAACATGAATGATGCCTCAGAGCAGCGGTCTTATTGCTGAGAGGTGTGCTATTGCTTTTCTAAGTGATCGGACTGACAGTTTTGCCTAGTGGATGATCAAATAATTGAAAACAATTCAACAAACTTACACTGAAAGAAGAACTCAAGCTGTATTTACTTATACTTACACTGTAAAAAAAATTCCGTAAAATTTACGGTAAAAAAAAACGGCAGCTGTGGTTGCCAGAATTTTACCGTAAAAAATACAGTAGCAACGTTTTAGGTTTTACGGTTTTAACTTAAATTTACAGTTAAATACCGTAATTTCATTAACTGATATAATGTTAATATACCAACCTATTGAAGTACTGAAATCTGTTTTGTACCTTTGTAATACACTGATAACCACCAAATGCAGGTGGTGATGAGAAAGTCACATGATGAACCAAAGCCCATCACAAGCAGCTTTTAAATAATAACATTTATAGAAGGTGCACAGTGTCATTCACACAAACACTAAACACCATCATGGTAACACACATGAAACTGAAATAATGCAATAAACATTCATTTAACAACATTAGGTGTACCACACAACCTTAATATACAAAACTGATAAGAAAAAAAATAAGAAACAGTTTAACAAAAAAACATCAAATTTGAAATGTAACGCAGGGAATTCTGGGAATGTTAATTTACGGTTATTCACTGTAAATTATACAGTCTTTTTCACTTCCAAAAACGGTATACTACCGTAAAATTAATGTCCAATACAGTTTTTCACCGTATATAGTAGGGGAATTTACCGTTAACCATTTAACAGGTTTTTACTGTAGCATTTTTAGTCTTTTACCGTTAAATTCACGGTCATTTTTTACAGTGTACAACATCTTAGCAGCACAGTCCTGGCAACCACATGCTGAAAACTACTTTAAACACCCTGGCAATCACCCAATAGTTCAACAGATAATTATTATTTCAATAGGCACTGAGAACAAAGTTGTATTTGATTTATAACCCAGTTGTCACACACACACACAACATGGTCTGAACCTCTTACAATGCCGAGAGAACCTCAGTGCTCAGAACAACAGGCACATTGTTAGACTAAAGACATTCAGGATCCGAATATGTGTGTAAGGTAAAACCTCACCGTTAGGAGACGGGATGTATGCGAGTGAAAAGTGATGTTCAGTCGTGTGAGGATGGAGAATCACAAGTGAATAAGCTCACTGGAAAGAAAACCTTAACGAAATCTTTGATATCGCAATTATTGCTCATTGACAGCAATGGCGATAAATGAAGACTCATTTATTAGCTCTTGAGAAAAAGTGTGTCACTTCTAGAGTTTTAGAAAAGATCTCCACAATATCTCAAACGGTGTCAAATTCATTCATTTTAATAAGTAATTGAATATCCATATCATTTTATAGTGCTATACGTGTCTACAAATGTATTGCCTATTTTGTTTGTTTATTTATTTTTTAATTTAAAGAAAAGTTATAGGAAAAAAACTCTGATTTTAGAATTGTTTATACTATTATTTAAAGTTTTGAATTAGCTTTTATTTTCATATTTTCAGTTTTCATTTTAACTTTAGTAATTGTGTTATTTTGCAACTTTGTCATGTCTTGTTCATGTGTTTTTAATAAATATTGCATGGTATTGTTTTTACCTCTTTTTATTTCTATTTGCTATTATTTTAGTTTCAGCAATTTTGAAACTCTTGAAATGAAAACCTCTTAATTTCCTTTTTTATTTTAAGAGTTATTAGTTATTTTTTTATATTATTTTAGTATTTAATATTCAATGTATCAGCTTTTTTATTTAATGTTTTATATTTCCAGTTTTCATTTTAAACTTAGTTTTAGTAATTGTGTTTATATTTCACATCATGTCTTATGCGTTTCTTGTAAATAGTATGTGCTTTTTTATTAGGTTTTGTTTTTATTTTTTATTCATCTTTAATTTACTTTTATTTCAGTTTCAACTATTTTAGTACTTATTTCAGAAAAGACTGCATTTCTAATTTTCATTTATGTTTTCTTAAATACTTTTTCATCAATTATTTATATTTTATTTTAGCTTTATTTCAATCAATTAAAATATTTGTAAATAGTTTTTAATAACAACAACAACACTGGAATGAAAACCTCTTAATTACAGTAAGTCTCCTAAGCCACAAACGAGCAACCTTTGAGCAAAAACCTGTACCTCTGGTTCACAGGATATGAGGTCACATGAAGTGGACTCTGGAAGTGGCATTCTAGAGGATTTGAAAGGGAATATGATGAGGAGGCAGGGAATGAGAGCGCCTGTCCAATGGTTAATGAATGAAGGAGGGGGTGAGTGAGAGAATGGCCTGGGTGTTCTCTGGCTGTGATTCCCAAATGAAGCATGAAGAACTCAGAATCACACTGAAAAGGTTTGGAGAGGAGAGGCAAGAGGGAATGGGAAGGGTGTTGCATCACAGTTTATTAACTGTGCATCACAAATTAACTGTCTGGGAGCGGAAGAGAAATGTGGAAAAGCAGCGACACATCCTTATGTCTGATGTAATATACAGTGAAAGGTAACTATGTCAGCCTGTAGTGGAAGCACGTTTTTTACTTAACACAATATCGCTATATGAAATATCGGAATGGTATCCTGAAGACACACCTCACAACGCGTCTCATCCTACAGGTTGCTTTTGCTGTCATGGCTTTTCGTGCTGCTCAGAAATGTGTTACTCTCAAACTATGAGTCATTTTAAAGCATTTTCCCTACCAACACCAACCTGACTACAAAACAAACCTTTGAATTTTGGATTGTTGTTCGAATGTTACACTAGCCTAAGCTTATTCAGCATGACTAGACATGACACACACATGCACACCCTTACCTCGTTACATAATTGACAAAAACACACCCAAAATGACCCGGCATGACATGAAGACAGAGAAATGCATCAGAGCATAAAACTACAAACTTATTCAAAGTAGCACTTACGTGCAGTTACATAGAAATGCAAGACTCACATAAAAATGTTAATAAAATGGAAAAACTTAACATACAGTTGTCCCAAAAATCATTTAAATAGTTTAGAGACACTTAAAATGTCTGCATATCATTGGATTACATGACATATACACAAACACAGTATGTAAATAGGTATCCTTCCCATGTGTTTTCAAAAGGTAAATGTGATTATTAATCCAGCACTGATATGAATTATAAGGAAAACCTATTAACATTATATTAGATTGTTAATAGTTTAATCTTTTAAGTAATAAAGTGTTTAAAAGTAGCCCATTTAAGTAAGTTGTGCATTTATGAGAGCGCGGCTCTACTTGTTTTCAAAATACGTGCACCGCGCCGATGCCAAAATTTAAAAGAAATGTGACTAAAAAATGTCATATAAAATAATTTCACTCACTATCTATCTATCTATCTATCTAAAGTACTGATGTGATGCTAAACAGACCGAATGTTTTATTACAAACGGGACGACTGAGTGAGTGAGTGATGAATGAATGAATTGGGTTTCCTTTGATAAATAATACATGTGGCAGCTTCTTCCGTCTATCGATATTCTCTGTTTTTTTTAGCAACTACGGTGGCTTTTCTACTTTTGTACGAAATCGCTGCATTTATAGCCTACATGGTTTGTGGAGGTTTTAAGAAACTGGCTCTTACCTGTGAGTGGAATCTGGGTCACAAGTCCTCCGAAAGTTTGTCTATTCTCCTCAGACTGTGGTAAATCCCTCCCGGACCCCGGAGCCAGTGTTTAGCCCCTCTCACAAACACGCCCTCGCTCCCCCTCTGAAGTCAGCCTGCATGCCCCGGGACAAACCTCCACCAACTCCTCGAGGTATTCCCACAACTTCCTCATCCAATTATGTGCTTTAACATGCTTTTTTGGCAACATCTCCAGGGAGTCTGTAACAGAAGTCTAGTGTTTAAGTTTCCATACTGATATTATGGAATACGAACTTCGCAGATTCATCACATTAATTGACAGATTTAATTTAATGCTAAAAACTCCAAAATAATAATAATAATAATAAAATATTTTAGAGCATTGGTTTTCATCAGTTTATCAGCCATTTTGCATGTCCCATTACGTTAATGAATTAGGCTATATTGAACTTCAGTCAACAGTGTTTTTAAAGGGGTCATATGATGCTGCTAAAAAGAACATTATTTTGTGTATTTCGTGTAATGAAATGTGTTTATGCGGTTTAAGGTTCAAAAAACACATTATTTTCCACATACTGTACATTATTGTTTCTCCTCTATGCCCCGCTTTTCTGAAACGCATTTTTACAAAGCTCATCGGAAAGAGAAAGGACAAATTTAAATCGCATCATATGACCCCTTTAACAGACATTTGACATAACTGACATTTTCACTGAAAACCATGGGGACACTGCACATTTGCTATGTCTCCCTAATTTAACACACCTAATTCAGATCATCGGCTCATTTGCAGGGAGCTCCATTAACTAAACTGGGTCAGAAAAGAGAAACATATGCCTTACAAAACGCAGAGCAGATGGTCTTTATGGACTTTTTCTTTGCTTTTGTTCAGTTCAAACAAACAGCCGTGTTAAAACTGGACCAATGTGGAAAGAAATAATTTATTTTCAAATTCAAATCCTGTAGGAAAAATAATCCAGAAGAATTAAAAATCAGTGATCGGGAACCTTTTTTTGACCAAAGAGAAACTTTGTGGTTAAGGTTTTTTTTTCAAAAGAGCTTGAGCATAAATCCTCTTCTGTGTGTGTGTGTGTGTTTATGTGATTACTCACCAAGCATTTTGTCATATTTCTGTCCCACAATTAATGTCTTATTGTGTCTATGCTTTGTTTGTTATAAAGAATGGATTCGCGAGCATGTACTGGAGGAAATAAACAAACAAACAGCATTTTCAACAGTGAGCTTATTCTAACCTAAATGACCCCGATTGGCTATTGTCTTCAAAAAATCAGCAACTCTCTCTGTGATTGGCTACTTGCTCAACGCTGCATGAACACGTTATAAATAGAAACATTTGATGTGCAAACACAACTATACTAGAGAGCTGTTATTACATCTTCAACTGAGGGTGCTGCTTTCATTTGAGCATTTGTCAAAATGAGCCTAAAATGCAAAAAAATACACCTGGTTTGGGATAGAAAAGATCCATTTCCAAAAGCATAAACATAAAATTGAGTTGTAATTACTGTTCTCACAGTTTGTGAAAATGTTAAATACAGTTAGAAAATATTAAACATATTACTTTTAAATGCAGTTTTATTTATCATATGTTCTCATATTTATTGTTTTATTTTTTATTGTTTTTGTAAAGCTATAATTTTGTTATAATAATGATTTGATATGTTTTTTATTTGCAATAGTTACTATTTACTATTTCATAGGTGTTATTTTTGGTGAATTGTTTAAAAAAAAAAACTATGGTAAGTTTGATCCTCAAACATCACTGTAATTAGTAATATATGGAACCCACACCAATTTAAAAAAAACATGTAAAAATATATTATCCCCGTTTTTTAATTCGCAGATAAGCACAATAAGTGAGATTTCAGTGATATTTTTACAACTGAACTAGGAAATGTCCCCGGTCTTAATTTCAGAAATCTGGTCACCTTGTAGGCATAATGCAAATTGGGTTTTTGTGTAGTTAATTAATTTATCTAAATTGTTCTAAATTGAACTATCCTGTATTGGTGATCTGTTTTAATCTAGAACTTTATCTATTTCAGTTATAATACGGGTTGTTATTGTTTTGGTGAATGTCTGTTTCTCTGTGCCCCCCTACGAAAATGATCCCTCCCCCCACTCAATTCTATTTGTTGTGGAGGGGGCCGGCTTCACACGTTTGCCTGGGGGTCCTCAGTGCCAGAATCACCCAATCCAAGCGTGCGCTAGCGCCTCACCCCAGGGTGTGCACGAGTAAAGCGGCCTTAACCGGGTGCCAATCCGTGCCGGTAAAGCCGGCTCACACTACAGGATTGAAAGACTAGCCGAATCACTCTGTTGCTCACACTACGCAACAAGATTTGTTCTCATCTGTCATTGTCTTGTCATAGCTGCGCGCATACTACACAACCCAACACTAACGAGGTGCACACACTACAAAACATTCAGTGAAGAGGCGTTCCCGACCATCAGCGAAAATACGTTTTCTCACATTTTCTCGCGAGAAATTACAGCGATTATAGGCCATTCCTTCAAGCATGGACGATCAACTGGCCCTTCAATTGGTCTGTGCAGTTATTTTATCAGAAAGAAAGAAGAAACCACGACAAAAGAGAATATGACAACAAGGACTGTCAGTAGGCTACTGCAGAAAGAGTTGGAGGTAATTAAACAATATACTATATTAAATATTATAATATAAATATTATATATTATATACTATATATTGTATACAATGAAACGTGGTATTATATACACAATCTATGCATTTGTTAAA